CTTTAGTGGTGGGGATGATTAGACAAATTTTGGTTAGCGTTTTACCATCTACATGATATTCTTAATATAAGTACAAAATTTCACAACAATCGGTCGAGTACTTTCGGAGATTATCTGTCTAATAAAAATCCGGGACAACAGACGGACAGACGGACGGACAGACGGACAGACGGACAGACGGACGGACAGACGGACAGACAGACGGAAATGGGAGACCTATTTCTTCATCTTCTAGGGGTCATGAAAGATCGAGAAAACGTAAAAGTAGAGAGTCGGCCGACGGACTCGATTACAATACTTCCTTTGCTTACGCTCGGGAAGTAAAAATCGACTATTTAATTACTGTTTTGGTAACACTTTATTTTTAAATATTTTTCGAATATTCTAACAAAAAGTTTTCCCGTGATTTTAAAGTATGTATTTGTAAATAGAAAAACTGCATACTACGTCCACAGTTGTAAAAAATAGAGCAGGCACGACAAAACACAGCTCCTTCTTGAAGAATAAGTTCAGGAAAAGGTTTAATACATAAATTAATTTAAGTTATCTTTGACATATTGATACACCTGTATTACCTTAGATGCTTTCAATGCAAACTCACAATGAAAAATAATAGGATAACGTGCCTTCGACCACCATAAAACACACCATTAATACACTTAAGTAACGAACAAAAATATTGGGAATGAACCGTGTTTCCAAAAGTAATTAGGGCCTGAATTTACCTGGAAGGATGGCTTAACACCCAGTGATTTCTCCAAACTACCATATAACCCAAACATTTCCTAGTTATTTGAAGCTCAGGAGAATATTTGCAATGATTCATGAAATTTCGTCTTTCTAGTTAAATGCCAAAAGAATGACTTTTTTTTTAAATTAGCACAAAAAATTGATAAATATGCAAAATATGCGCCCGTTACGTGAAATATGCAGCAGAAAGCAAATATATGCAAATATGCAATTTTTTTATAGCTGTATTCATTTTTAATTAGCATGATTCGTTCACATACTAAATATCAAGACTTATATGCAAAAAATAAAGGATATGCAAATTTCATAAAATCCGCTCTCTACCGATCACGTACGCCTTTCGGAAGAAGAATACCGAGTTCTTGCCCCGTCAAACATGACACCTAGACTTCATCAGTCAATTCACGACTGACATTCTCCACATTGCAGGGAGTGAAAATGTTGTGGCAGATGCTCTTTGCCGATTGATTTCCAGGCTTTGACAGCAGCACAACAACATGATCTACATCTACATGATATTTCTAATATACATACAAAATTTGCCAACAAGCGCTGCAGCAGGGTCGGAGATTACGTGTCTAATAAAAATGGATACAGTTACCGGACGGACAGACGGAAACGGGAGACTACTTTTTTCGTATTCCAGGGATCATCTAAAGTCGAGAAAATGTAAAAGTGGCCATTCGTCCGATAGACTCGATTACTATATATATGTATTTCCTTAGCTTACGTTCGGGAAGTAAAAATGATTAGATTTTAAAAGGGGAATATATATATATAATATTATGTATTTATTTATAAAAATTACACATAGTTAACAAAATTAAAACTTTGCAAAACATAAAATTTATCTGGTATTTTGTTATGAAAGTGTCATGTGCTCGTTGAATCCAGTGATGACTGACATTTTAGTTTCCATAGTGTATTTTTAATTATAGTTTGTACAGTCAATTTCATAAGTTTTTAACTTTCCTATTCACTTTACTGCGTTACTTTTTGGGTTACTGGGGAGATTTGAAGACCACGTGCCAAGTGCATTAAAAACCTTTTCCAACTCATAATGGGGTTATGGTCACATTACCTTCTCTGTTTTTTACTCATGTTTGTTTTTTTAATTGATATACGACAATACTTTACTTATATGTCTTATTAGTGGAAAGAGAGGTCTCAAAATCAGTTTCACTCTTTTCTAATTTTTCCCCTATACCCTATACACTGTGTATGTATACAACTGTACTAAAGATATATTTAAAAATAACTATTAAAGATTTTATAGTGTTTGTTCTGGTTACCTTCATGTTTACAGTCGTAAATCAAAGTTTTCAGATGCACTATCTAAATGTAGTAGGTATTGCAAATATTTATGGAAACGTAATCATTGATAAGTGACATTCGCAAATAAATATTTAAATGTATCTACAGCGTGTCCTGAAGATATTTCATTCATTTCATATTCACAATTAGTCGTGACAAGTCTCCACTAAATACTTTGTTGCTATGACCTTCTTGTAATAATTTGCTGATTTTTTTTATTGTTCTATTACGGTTAGGACTATTAAAATCAACATAGTATAATCCATATTTTGCACTAAAACATATATTTTAAACTTTTCTACATACCTATTAAGTTAAAGTAGACATACTGATAACCCATTAACCACTCGAAATTGTCTAATAAACTCCAAATAGTATAGCCCATAACATTGACGTTATCTTCTAATATTGCCAAGAGAACGTTGCCCATATATTCCTAAAAAAATACGTATTTCTGTTTCATTACGAAGTATATATAAATATATAAATTCGGGATTAAATATCAAGAATAATTTATAAAACACGATCACAGGTAATCACATGCTAATTTTTTTCCAAATAACTTCTTTTTTAATTAAGTTTAAAAAAATCAAAATAAGGCTATTAAACGTGGTATAATCTGACAACATTTGAAAGTAATAGTCAAAAAAGCCAATAAAAAGATATAAGTTATATAAGTTTGCTACATTCAGGATTATTTTTTTTACCGATAGGTAATAAATTCTTGCGGTATCATTTAAATCTCCTTCATCAGGAACACCGTTTTCAGTAATAATAATTTCTGGATGGTTGTACGTTTGGTCCACCCAGTTAATCAGTTTTCTTATACTCGAGGGTTCGATTACTACATCGGGAATTACTGAGGATACATTCCATGTTGGATCTACAAAAGTAATGACACTAGTGTCTGCATCCCAGCTAGGATTTCCTATTGGATAATCTTCCGTCCAGTTGACCAAATGTACTGAATAAGTGTTAAGACCGAGAAAATCGTATGTGCCTTTAATATACTCGACTTCATCAGGCGTAAATTCTGGCAGGCGGGATTTAGAGAATCCTTCTTGTTTACTTCGTACAGCAATACGATCTCTCATAACTTGGGGATAGTTACCATCAGGATGATAAATGGGATTCGCGTACCACCCAAACTAAAACTAAGTTTTAGCAATTACCTGGAAATACGAAAAACTTACTGAAAACTGAAGTTTTCTTTCTGCTGCTTCTTTGTCTTGATCGCTGTCACTACCTGGTTCGTACCAAGGTGTATCGATAACAAAAGATATTCTACCATTTTGCTGGCTTCTGAATTCTTTGTCGTAAATGTGATAAGCTTTAGCGTGGGCTTTGATAATTGTGTGTGCGCACAAGTAACTACCAATGCCGTCAGATGCATAACCTGGAGAGAACAGACCATACCCATACCCATACTGACAAGTTTGTTTTGGCTCATTAAATGTCATCCAGTTTTTCACATCATCGCCGAATAATGCAAAAGCTAATCTAGCATAATCTGCAAAATGATCGACAAGCAGCGGATTAGGCCACCCACCGATGTCTTGGAGAGGCTGCGGAAGGTCCCAGTGATACAGCGTCACAAAGGGTTCAATTTTATTTTCTTTTAAAGCGTTAATTAGATTCTTATAGTAATCGACAGCAGCTTGGTTTACTTTATTAACATAACCAGTAGACAAAATTCGAGACCAGGATAAAGAAAACCTGTAGTAGTTAACCCCTAAATATTTTAGCAGTTGTACGTCTTCGAGGTATTTGTGGTAAGAATCACAAGCAATATCACCATTTTGAAAACTTGCCGTAGAAGGTTTTTCGTGAAGATACCGATCCCAGATATTTTCACCTTTGCCGTCTTCGTTCCATGCTCCCTCAATTTGGTAAGCAGAAGTGGCGACGCCAAAGAGAAAGTTTTTTGGGAACCTTTTAGTTGTGAATTCGCTGTTTGTGTTTCTGTATAAATTAAAGCGAGACAATAATGAAAATAGAAAAATTTTTTTTTTTTACCTTAGTAAAAAGGAAATTACCAAGTAGTAATACCAAAATAACTTCATTGTTATCCAGTTGTAATTGTTTGGTTACAAATACGTTATTTTTGTAACATTAAGGTTTCACTAGCATTTGTACAGCTGGGTACATGCTTGGTTGTGCGAAATCACTAAATTATTTTACTGGAAACGGTTTTGCACTACGTTATTCACGCCTAGAATATTGACCTCGATAATTATTATTTATATTTTTATGTAGTTTGATTAAAACACAAATAAACACTGTCTTAACAATCATATTTCTTTATAGTCAACTCCACAGACAGTGCGTTGAACTTTGTTTAAAGAAGGTTGTAACATAACGTATTTCTGTTTTACATAGTTAGGGGAGAAACGAATAAGTAATATAACTGCAAAAATTTTACTTTCTAAAAATTTTAAAAATTGAAACTAAATCTTAGTATTTATTTTTCAGTGGCTCAGTTCAGGTAACAACATCAGTTTTATTAGCAACTCAAATAGCTTCATTTTCAGATAAAACAATGACATTTTTTTCATTGAATTGTTATCAAAGTTGGTGCTTCATGAACTTAAAGAAACTTAAAAAACTCTGTGTTCTTTTTTTTAAGTAACACTTTACATACGCAATTATTAAACTAAAACTATTCATAGTTGTTTACAAAATAATTCATTGTTTGTTTACAATAACCAAATAGCTGCTTATTTTTGATTTTCAATAGATAGTTTATGATATTAGTGATATTAATTAAAATAGTCGATCTATAAACAGACAGACAGATAGACGGAAGCAAGAAACCTTTATTTTGATGGTATGAAAAGTTTAGCAGCATTTACAATTATTTTCACATATGTTACACCGTCAGCATAGTAACGAACATACGTAATCTAAATAGTCAAAAAGAAAATGATCAAAAAACATTATTTAGTAATAAGTGTTTTATACGATAGCAATATACTTGATTATACAATTGTGTAAAAGTACATAGACTAAGTTAGTCCTCGCACGTATCAACAGGGCACTTTGTGACTATAACATTATTATAATATTCCCCCGATTCTTTTATAGTTCTAGTTAAATTGGGACTGTCAAAATCAACTTGGTATAATCCATATTTTGCCCTGAAATATTCATTTAAGTATATATTTTAGAGTTGTAGTGTAAATTCAATTTACGTATATCCCAGTAACCATTCAAAGTTGTCTATTAAACTCCACACTGTATAACCTGTAACATTAACACCATCGTCGAATATCGCCAGTAGAACGTTGCTTAAGTATTGCTGAAATGTTGAATTATATATTTTGGATGCATTAATAATTTTACTCATTTATTACTGAGAGGAAATCAATTCTTTGAGAATCATTTAGGTCTCCATTATCAGCATAACCATTTTCACTGATAAAAATTTCTGGATGGTTGTAAGTTTGGTCTATCCAGCTGAGTACTTTTTGCATACCCCATGGCACGATGTCTAAAGTTGGACTCGTCGAGCCAATCCAAGAAGGGTCTTGATAAGTCGTAACACTAATGTCAGCATCCCAGCTAGGGTTTCCTATAGGATACTCTTCTGTCCAGTTGACCAAATATGTTGAATAAGTGTTCAGACTAAGAAAATCGTATGTGCCTTTAATATATTCAATTTCGTCTGTTGTAAATTCTGGGAGACGAGATTTGGAGAATCCCTCTTGTTTACTTCGTTCAGCAATCCGATCTATCATAACCTGCGGGTAATTACCATCAGGATGATAAATGGGATTTGCGAACCATCCAAACTAAAAAATAAAAACTAATGTAACACAGAACTTAACAAAGTTGTAAACTTGCAGTAAACTGACGTTGTCGTTCCTCCGCTTCTTTATCTTCATCGCTGTCGCTGCTTGGTTCATACCAATATGTGTCTAGAACAATAGATATTCGACCGTTTTGTTGACTTCTAAACTCTTCGTCATAAATGTGGTACGCTCTTGCGTGGGCTTTGATGATCGTGTGTGCACACAGGTAGTCACCAATACCATCTGTTGCATAACCTGGAGGAAAATAACCATACCCATGTCCATACTGGCAAGGCTGTTTTGGTTCGTTAAATGTCATCCAGTTTTTCACATCGTCGCCAAACAGTGTAAAAGCCAACCTGGCATAATCTGCAAAATAATCGGCAAGTTGGGGATTGGGCCATCCACCGATGTCTTGAAGGGGTTGTGGAAGGTCAAAATGAACAAGGGTTACGAAAGGTTCGATGCCGTTTTCTACCAGGGCGCTGATTAAATTTTTGTAGTAATCAACCCCTGCTTGATTTACTTGATTAACATAACCTGTTGGCAAAATTCGGGACCAAGATAAAGAAAACCTGTAATGGTTGACCCCTAGGTATTTCAAGAGTTGCACATCTTCGAGGTACTTGTGATAAGAATCGCAAGCGACGTCACCATTTTGATAGCCTGCCATAAAAGGGTTTTCGTGAAGGAAGCGGTCCCACACATTTTCACCTTTGCCATCTTCATTCCATGCACCTTCTATCTGGTACGCAGCTGTGGCGACACCAAAGCGGAAATTTTCGGGAAATTTTTTATTGGCAAGGTCTCCATTGGTGTTTCTATTTATTAAATTGTAAAACGGACAGAAAATGTTGAGTGAATTCTTGTTACCTTGATAAAAAGCCAAGAACAAAACAATAAAATAATATCAACTTCATTGTGGATTCTGACTAATCGGTACTGTTGTGATTTTGTTTTTACAATTTGTTTACTTTTAAATACTTTACTCTCAGCATTTATCACTGTTCCTAGATTTGGTTGAGATATAAGTGAAAGTATTGTTTATCAATTGTAGTATTTCAAGTACATGTACAAAAATAAATAAATTGTCAGTGATAACGATTTAGAGTTTTTTTGAACGTGCTGATACGATGTTGATTTTAGAAAAATAAAAAAATATCAAATATAGGTGTACTATTTATTCGATTTTTAATTTTTAGTAAAAAAAAGCATTTTTTTTTTCAAGGGTTTAGCAAAACTTATTATAAACCTATTTCAGATTTTTTTCTACAAATATTAAAAAAAGTACTAAGCTTACTATTACGTCGAAAAACTTAGGAGTGCGTGTAAGATTTTTTGAACCATATGGAAATTAAAGCGGACTTAAAACTGATCCTCGGGAACACCACTTAGTGCAGTTTTCTTAGAAGCTTAAGATCTTTTTAGGTTGAACCCAGTGTGGACGATTTTTTATGATGTTGTTTGGTCTATCATTTAAGAACTCCACTAAGTTATTAGGGTACTAGATAATCGTGGATATTATGGATCTCAAATTACGGGTGAAAAATCTCGACGTTAAGCGTATTACTATTTTTTTTCTATATCTATCTCACAATGGCAGTTTTCGAATTATCCAGCTTAGTTTTTGTTACATCTTCCTAAAGCGACACGTATAATAGTGCTTTTATTCTCAAAAAGTTAAACTGAGTTCCATTGGTGTATGACATCTCAAAAGTATCACCAACTTCTGTTGTTATCAAATCAATATCACGTAGCGGAGGAATGCTCACTGAATCACCAAGATTGAATGTTATTACAATTTGTAAAGGAAATTTCTATTTTAGCGAGAGAATCAAAATCTATGATTCGACCAGTGGGTTTCATCGTTTTCTAGAAGAGCCTTTTCTTTCTAATCATATGAATTAATAGGAATTGAATTTCTCCAAATTCTAGTGTATGATCTTGGACCTCTGGAGAAACTCGCTTCGTTGAAGTTGTTGTGGTTTTTAAGAATTATTGTTGATGTAAGCTTTGGGACGTATTTGTTTCGGTCTGTTTGTGCTCACTCAAGCTGTACTAGGACTTGGTGTGTTCTATGTTCCTTGAAACATGTTCAGATAACTCGGAATTCTCATGAGGGAGGGGTTGTAGTTGTAATGTGTTTGAACTGCTAGAGTCCACATCGACAGGTTGTCCATCAGCTGCATTGGAATATTCGCTAGCCGTGTGTCCAAAAAAAAACTTACTTGGTTGTCAAATGTTAGGAATTCTAGTCCTAATGTAGAATCTTGTAGTAATTATTGTCTACACACTTGATGACCATTGATGCTGATACATTGATGGACTAAATCTGCCTCGCCCTCTGTTTTTGAGGAAATTTATATATAGTATAGTATATACATATATTTATAGATGGGTACATATTAGGTAAAACTACGTTTACCGGGGAAGTTAATAGTTGTATCTCTATTTTTTCAGCTTACAGGTTTTGTCGAAAAGGCTACTTTTTACTGGATGTCGTTTTCGACAAAAAAGTCGATAATATTTTTTCTAAGACTTATACAGGTTTGTAATCTGAAAGTGGTGAAAACCGTATTTCGAAATTTCCATAAATAATTGAGATATTGATTTTTAAAAATACGTGATGAAAAATTGCACGGAGAGAGGATAATGACAAACTATTTAAAAAAAAAAACTGTTTTTGGATTATATAGAGAAAGTTGTGGACAGGTTATATATTAAATTTTCATAACCATATTTTAATATAATTTTTCAAAGAAGTTGAATTTGTCGCGCAGTATTTCGGAGAAGTGGAAAGTCCTGTCTAAATAATCGGTGACCAATTTTTTTGGATCCAGTATTGTAGAGACAATGTTGTGATTGAAGCAAAACATGAGTTATATAAAGGCAGGAAGTATGGAGATTTCGTGTTTAACTGGTTGCCTCCTATCAGTTTGTTTGATTATCTTTTCTCAGGTAAGATTGATTATAGGAAAAAAACGATGTGATAACCCAAACTTCCCGCCTTTGAATTGACCTTGAAAAAGTTGGAAAGGCCCTCGAAAAATTCAAAATTTGACCTTGGCTGTGATCGTCTAACAAATGGGAACTTAACGTTGTTTGTTTTTTTTTAAACATGGCCGGAAGGCGTTCTTTCCTGCAAGTGAGCATATACTGCGTGTGAGTTGAGAGCGCAAGAAATAATAGACAAAATTTGGGAGAGGCTAAAAGAGCACTCTTCCTTAGGAGGAAAAGAAGCGAAGAATGAAAGTGACTCGGATGCACCCTTCTGGTGGCCCAACAGGGCCAAGTCGCCATCGTTCTTCATCTCCAAAAACTCCCTAGGGCTATATTCAGAGACATATTACATTGCTAACACCTTAAAAATATGAAAGAAAAGACACTCGCGAATTGACGGACATACACATATGAAAAACGAACAACCACAAAATCCTATACATCTGTTTGGAATCAATGCAAATATTTGAATATCACAAATTTAATAAAAACAAAACAAAATGTGAATTAAAGTAACTGGATGCAAATACACAAGTTATTACGGGCGTGTGGCGGCAGATTTTAAAGTTACGGCAGTTAACAGGAGCACATCAGAAGTACCCCTGGAGCGTTCTAGCATAAGCGGAGTTTGGGGTCCCCGATCCGGGCTGGTCTCCCTCGCGACGGTGATTCTATCTATCGGCAAGGCTACCGCACCGCACATGTCCATGACGAACATGCCGTTCTAACCAGGCCGTTTTGGTCGAAAACTAGGAGTGAAGTTAAGCTGACAACACCTCATCCTCCAGACCGTTCCCACTGAATCTATTCAAAGCCTGCACTTGTACAGATGGCGCGAAAAATCCCGTTAGCCACCATTAGGAGCCGCGCCTTGCGCTTCTGCTACGTGTTTCGGTGATATTTAATCTCAGTTCCATTTTTTAAATGTTCAATTCCTTTTAACTCTGATATTAATAACAAGTTTCAAAAGAGCAATAAACAACATTTAAATTCGCCATACAATCTTGTGAAATTTTAAACAAACAAATAATTCTTAACTGAGATTTAAAATTGGACATCATATAATTTATGATAGAAACATTCATCAAAAAAATATTTACATGATCGAAACTAGCAAAGATTTATAAAACAAAGATCTGGTGTGAAATAAACCTGTGCAAATAAAATATTATGTTAGGTTTGTAACGTTTCAATTTTGTTGAAGAGATAAACGTTCCAATTGTTTTGTTTCATCCCTTCTTAAAAAAAAAGGGTTGTTTTATTGGGGATGCAATATTTTACGTGCCGGCATCTAAGACATCATGGTTGCCTATGGGGAGTGTCAAACGACGTCGTGGCACTGCTAATGCGCTGGTACTCCCACCCCGCGAAAAAGAATATTCGAGAGAGTATCGACCTGATAGGGGAAGAGGGAGGTTCTCGTGAGGCGTTTTGGCGAAGATCCTGGAAGAAGGAAGTGCTAGGACGTAGCCGAAGAGGAGGAAATAAGTTTTCGAGAAGGTTTTGGCGAAGATCCTGGAAGAAGGAAGTGCTAGGACGTAGCCGAAGAGGAGAAAAGAAGTTTTCGAGAAGATTTTGGTGGAGTTGCTGAAGGAAGGAAGTGGAAGGACGAAGAGGAAGTACTCAAGATAGAGATTTTTATCGTTTTGTTCGAAGCAAGAGGTTTAGTTGAGCCGTTTTCGTATCGTCCACCACAGAAAAGAGGAATTTTATCGTTCGTTTTTTTATCACCGCACCCAAGTGGAGAGTTCCTGGAAGAACCAAGCTTATCGTGATGCCGTTGTAGTGAGTAACTTATTGTCGTTCCTGTTGCTCCCTTGAAGAGACCATATCGAACCGACGACTTTGATTTTCGCTGCTGTTCCTGCGGAGCCGCCGCTAACCTTGAAGTTTTTCTTCGGATCCAGAGGTCTGTGACGCCGCTGTTTCTTTATCAATCCCAATCCAGACGAAGAGGAGCTGCTGATAACTACGGTTACGAGCTAAGTCCACTCTAACGCCTTATAGTTCTAATTTTCCATTTAGTCGCCCGGTCACAGCTATCTTTATCGAAATTCTTGGAAGTTTTTTTGTTTTTTAATTTATCATATCGCAAGATAGTTTGTACGAGGACACATGAATACATTTCATTTTCTGCTATATTACTTTAATATATTTCAGTGATAGTCCCTTCTGGACGTTAAGGGTATTTTTTTTAATATTAGATGAATTTCATTTAATCAACACTTGTCAATTTTATTATCCGTTGAATATATTTTTAGTTTTTTTTCTGTGTTTTCTTGTGGCTTGATTCTTCTCGACTGTTTACTCGACGTAGCGGAGTAAACTACCCCAACAGGAAGCTACGTGGCGCCCAATACAAAAAAAAATAATAAGAACTCTCCGAACCGCGACCCGCCCCGGCTAAAGAGCTGCCGTTCGCTGTAAAACCCTCCGAAAGAGGGTTATAGGTTAAAACTGCAGAGCATGGAAATTTACGTTCAATTAAAATTATACAACAAAGAAAATTACTGAAGCTGAAATGGTGAGATAAAGACAAATTTCATGAGGTGAAACATTGCAAAGTTACCAAATTTACATGAGATTAATACTTGCCACACTTTATCAAACAAAGAGTTTACATTATGTTAAATTATGTCATGATCTAAGTGATTGGTTACTAAAAAAAAAAACAATTTACTTTGAGAGTTTAGAATACCGCGAACTGGTTACCCCAACAAAACACATAATAAACAAACACAAAAATATCCAATCATCGTTGCGAGGAAAAAAGCGTCTCGGTTATATAACTTTTTATCGTTGCAAGGAAATACCTCGATGGTGTTATTTTAGCGTTGCGAGGAACAAGCCTCGTTGATGTTATCAATTTCTAGCGTTGCAAGGACATGTCTCGATGGAGTAATCAATCTGTAGCGTTGTGAGGACAAGCCTCAGTGATGTAATCATGATAACGAGGATAATAACGATGA